ATTCCCCAGGCTCCCCCCAGTCCTCCCTCCCCATCCACCCCAGGGGTTTTTTCCTGAGACCACTGGGGCATGATGCACACAGCCCCGGGCCTGTAGCCTCTGTGGATGGTATAGAAGCTCCACAGGGCAGGACAAGGGCAGGCAATGTCTATGGTTGCCACCCAGGAACTTGACGCCTAGATTCCCTGCTTTTTCCATCCACTCTCTCCATGAACCCTTGTTAGGAGAGCAAGACAGAACGACTGGACAAGGCCATTTCCTTCACATGCAGGTTTGCGTCCCCAGCCCCTGTGGACCACAGTGGCAGCTGCTCAGGGCTGGCCCCTTCACCCACGGTTGCTTCTCAACTTGAATGAAACACTCTTGAAAGTTTCCTGTCTCCGAGCTGTTCAGTCCTATGAGTTGGATCGGTTTGATGAGCCTGGGTGGGAGGGTCCTGTCTTACCAGCTTTCCTCAGAAACTGATACACAAGCTGTTCTGCCCTACTGATTTGGTCAGCGTCCATCTGCCCCAGGGAAAGTTCAAAAGCTGCTGGATGCCAGGTAATACCTATGACCACTCTATTAGCAACAAAATATTGACTTAATCCACAATGGTACATAACCAGACTATAGTTCTCAGACTCCCTGGAAGTTAGTATGACCATGGAGTTAACTTCATATAAACGGAATATGGATAGAAGAATGTAGGAATTCTAGAAAATTCATCTGGGAGGATATGGGTCTCAGCAGCTATCTAAAAACGTCAGCCTTCTTGCCCCTTGTGGTTCCTTCAGGATAGCTATGGTATGAGGATTCTGGAACAGACACGAGGATGATAGGAAGCACCCTGATTACTCTGGAGTTGACATTCCAGCCCTGGACTTCTTGCTTCTATATTCCTTCAGAGGGTGAAGGAGATAAGCTCTCCTGTTTAAGCCACTGTCTGGATGGACAGCTGCCCCTGAGCCTTGCTGTAGATGAGCCTTGCTGTGAATGCAGCATGGTTAGAACACTACTTGGAATTCCTGATCAGACAGAACTCCTCTCGTGTTCTTGGGGTATAGTAAGCTAAGATAACTAGGATGGACTTGGTGTCAGTAGAAACAGGATGGAATCTCCTCTGCTGCCAGCTGTGTACAAGTAGCTCACATCTCCCGATAGAGCAATTAACACATACAATATAAGCAGCGCACAGCAGATGTTCGCTTCCCTGTCTTTCCCTTGTCCTCATGTTGTGCATTTGACTTTAAATACCGAAAGAAGGTCACCCTGCTATCCTAAGCTCAGCATATTGTGGTGGGGCTGGGCTGGGTAGAAGCACCTGCTGAGGTGTAGGGAGCACGGGACAGTGGGAGAGTGAAGAAAAGAAACAGCAAATGGAATGGCTGGGCTTTGTTTGAACTCAAAACACAGCAGGGCTCTCCTGCTAAAACCAAACCAGAGACCACTGGATTGTGGGCCAGCACTGTCCCCCACAGAACGCTGTCCCCAGAGCCCCATGAATGACAGTTTTGCAGCCTATGACCTACTGGCTGACCACCCAGGAAGGAGACACTTGTGGGGTAGAAGCAAGCCTGACTTAGCAGGTCTCACGGAAGCATCTCTTAAAGACCTCACACTCCACACTCCGAGAAAGGCCGTCTACAGGAGACACGGAACACTGTGGTATATAGGCTGTAGCCAGGCTCGTAAACATCCCATGCCCCTCCCAAGCAGAAGAGAAACGTGGGCAGAATTCAGCATCACCAGTCCTTCGTGGGTGCAGTTACAGAGAGGGGAGAGGACCACCCTGGTGGGGAAATGAAGGCAGGACTCTTGTTCTGGCAAGCCCGGGGGCTTCAGGCCACCCAGCCAGAACTTCCTGACTCTCAGCCTCCCAGGCAGGGCAAGGGTCCCTATGGAATTCCAGGCTTGCCAAAAACTAGTTATCCAATCTCAGAACTGGAAAGAACTAGAGATATTAATCCAAGTCCCAGCTCCATTCACGGATTAAAGCGTACCAGGGTGGGTGGCCAAGTTCAAGGAAAGTTAATGGCAGACCCAGGCCAGGACTGGATTGGTAGAGCCTAGGCATAGGGTTTAATTTTTACAGCAGTTATTTGGTGGACAGATTTTTCATTTGTACCTTAATATGTGGATTCAATTATCAAGCAAGTAGGGGAAAAATTCTTACTTTAAAACTCACATGTCAGTGTGGTCTGAAATTTCAGATGGCCCACAAGGCCCTAAACAATTGAGCTTGAGCCCCACATGTGGAGTCAAGGGAGGAAGGAGGGAACAATGAAGGCCAATGGGAGAAGCAGGGAGCCCCAGTTGGAAGGACCAATTTCTTCTTAAAATTTTAATACTACATTTTATTTATTGAGTGTGTGCACATGTGTGCCATATGCCATGGTGTACATGTGACGGTCAGATGACAACTTGTGTAAGTCAGAACTCTCCTTTTACACGGTGCAGGTCCCAGTGACTGAACTCAGGTCATCAGGCTTAGTGGCAATACCCTTTACTGAGCCATCTCCGGCCCCCATTTCTTAAAACTCAGCAACAGCAGCCTGGTCTACTTATCTGATGAGCAGCAACAGCACTTCAAGAGTGTGATGAGACATGGAGTCTTCTACCTGCTTTCAGAAAGTCCTGTTGGAAAAGAAGGCTCCCTAAAAGACCAGCCTGCAAGCTGCCTAAATAGTACTTTCTCTACAACTCCCAAGCTTAGCTTCATTCTCCACACTTTGGACAACCATGTGTGCCAAGGGCATTTCTACATATTAGATTCATCCATCGCAGGAGAGGCAGATGAGGGAGAATGCTAGGAAGCAAGAGGCTCAGGGCTAGAGAGATGGCTCAGTGGTTAACAGCACTGGCTGCTCTTGCAGAGGACCTCAGTTCCGTGCCCAGCGCTCACATGGTAGCTAACAACCACCCCAAACTCCACTTACAGGGGATCTGATGCTCTCTTCTGGCCTCCATGGGCATTGCATGCATGGGTTCACATAATACATACATGCAGGCAAAACATTCATACACATAAAATTAAAAATTAGAAAAGGAAGTGACAGGCTCAAGGCTACAAGTGGTCCATGATGGACTGGAAATTTGCACCCAGTCTCTAGGCTACTGCATCAGTGAGTCTTGGGGGAGGGGGTACTCATATAGGACCTTCTACCCCCAGGAAGTTCTGGTGAAGAGCCATAGTGATGATGCTTCAGGCCACCTGTCCTTGTGGTGCCCACAACCTCAGCTGCTCTCTGTTTGTCCAGGCAGCTCCTGCCCCACAGCCTGATGGTGAACATAGGTAGTTTTGCAAAGCTGTTATCTGGAGCGCAGGTTAAGCACAGACTAGTCACCTATCTGAGACAGTGAGGGCACCGATACTGTGTGGGGAAACACGCCAAGGGAGACCTCCAGCTCACCTGCTATTCTGATGTGCTTCTGCCTTACTCTGTGTGGTCATTCCTTGCCCACATTCACCTCCCATCGCTCAGGGTCTCCTATACGGCCTCATCTGGAGGTGACCACAGGGGCAGTCTCCAGGGATCCTTTCTAAGGACTTGTCCAAAGTACCAAAGATGCTCAGTGAAAGACTGAACAGATACAAGGTTTCAGTGGAGTTACAGGCCTGGTTATCACCAAATTTTATGATTTTTTTTGAATCGCTTAGCTTGCCTGACAGCCCTCAGCATGGGTTGGAGTAGCAACTGGTAACTGTGGGGAGGAATTTGCTAATTTTTATCATCTGGAGGTCACAGCGTTCCCTGGCTCTCACACATGGTTTGGTGAATCCTGCCTCTGATCTTGAACTTGCCTTGGTCTCCTTCTTGCTCGGTGTCACACACCTGGACTCTGCTGCAGGGGTCGGTACAGGGAAGCAGAAGCTGATCTGCTCCTACGGCACCAGGCAGGCCTCGCTCCTCTGTAGGAAGGCCTCCTCCACACCCCTGGCCGGCTTGCAGCCAAACGGCTGAGCAGTCCTGCTTTGCCTTTGGGACGGTGGGCAGCAGCCCCACAACAAACACCTCCCTGTTCTCCTCTGCGTTAATAATTCCAGCTGTGACAGGGGTGCTCAAAGTCGAGCCAGGAATGGGCAGGACTTCCAGCTGCCTCCTCACAATGCTGCTGAATCCGGAGTTGATCTGGTGGGCAGGCAGACCTTCCAGCCCGCTTCAAGGGGCTGCGGTCTGAATTTATAGACTTGACCACATCATTCTTCTTTTCAATAGAACACAGAGTCTGGGAACGACTATAGTCTTCCTTTGGTGGTATGTGACCACTTCCCCCTTCTTGGAATGGTGGGTCCCAGAGTCGACGAGGACCTCCCACCATGTTAGCACTTAAAAGGTCACTTGGAATGTGTCTCTTAGATCCTGTCCTGAGTGGCAACCCTCCTGCCACACACAGATGTACAGAATGTGTAGTCAAAAGCGAAGCAAGAATTAAACAGTCCCCAGGCCTGTGGCTACCTCAGCACCCACTCCCACCATCACCCCAACTCTTCAGCTGCACAGGGTAGCACAGTGAGGTCCCTCAGGATGGTGTACCCTAACACTAACAACTGCTCACAAGACTTTGGAAATAGGAAGTACTTCTTTCTCTAAGCTCAAGTACTAACAGCATTCTGTTGGCCTGGTCATTTTGGAGGTGTTAAGCTGACAAAGGTATTTATCCAATCATTTTAAACCAACCCAAAAAGTCAGAACAGGCCAGTACAATCTCTTGGGGAGCCACAGGATGGCAGAGTGAGTTACTGTTAGTCCTCCTGGCCCCTTCTGCATGAACCTGGGAGGCAGGCAGGTTCACGTGCTTTCCTTGGAGGCTCTAAACCGGGATAGTCTGGGTCAGTCATTGCCACTGTGAAAACAGGTCAGTGTGGTTTCAGAGCCATTTTGCTAAACATTTGAACTTCCATGAATGGCAGCCCTTCACCCACAGTCAAATGCAACAGCAGTTCTCTGGAATTTCAACATGAATCAGGACCAGGATCTCCAGTCCCAGCAAAGGAATGGAATATTAAAGAAGAAATCTGCATTCAGGGGCTTTTAATAAAGGAAATCCAAGTAGTTATAATTACCGTAATAATTCTGAAGGTAACTTTAGACAGTTTGGGGGCGCTTACAGAAACATAAGGTTGAAAATAGTAACAGACCCTTGGTTTTCAGAAATTTTCCTCAGAGAGGCAGCTGGAGTCAGTGACCACCATTTCCCCATTCCTTGTGCAAGTCCAGAAACAAAACAAGTACTCTTCCTGTACATTTCCTTGAACAATTTTTAGTTCAAATGCTCAAAATTGGAACTTTTAATTTTACAAGTTCCAAATTATTAAACACCAATATCATGTATAATGAGAAAAAAAAAACCAAAACAATGGCAAACACAGAATTATGGAAACTTTTTTTAGCAACAGTTGTGGGCATGTGAGAAGCAGCCATGAGGAAAGACAATTAGTATTAAACTCAAAACCTTGGGAAACGATCAGATACATACTACCTCAGAGTATGAAAAAGTTAAGGAACTGAATTTTCAAGTTACTAATGTTAAGGTCACCATTTCCTTCTAAAAGATTTATGTACAGGCTTGAATCCAGAAAAGTTAGGTTTAGAGCATAAATATCTGTTATTTTGACCGAATCGCTGCAGGAAGGTGCGATGTGATTCAGAACGAGACAAAAAGAACACTGTTTCAGACTGAGACACGTAAGGCACAATATTTTTTTTTCTCCAGTGTCCTTTTTTCCTTAATAAGCTGAATTTTAATTCTTTTTACTAAAGAAGCTTTAGATGGTATCAAGTTATCTGAGAGGAATTCAGCACAGAGCCAAGGCACACACAGGTCCACAGGCACGCACTGGTGTGTGCATGTGTTCACATGCATACAGCCTCTTTCATTTTCTTTTACAGAGGGAAGTAAAGCTCCACAGAGCCCAGCAAGTGGATCAGCCTTCACTTAGTCCTAGCAGACAATTCAACATCATAAGCAAGCACCGACTAGCCCCAGTGACCTGCAGCCCATACCCTTACCCAAGCTTTGGATGAAGATGGGTGGGAGGAACAGGTGTGAACCAAGATTGCAGGTGTGTGCGCTTGAGACTATGCCAGGACTACTTGGATTCTTTTTAGTCCAGTCAAAATATGTGAGTTAGGGGAAATAAAGCCATATGGTATAGGTGTGAAGGGGCCGTGAAAGCCCAGTTCATTAGCTTAGGGGCAAAGGACAGAGCAGTCATGGGTTCACACTGGAGGCATCTGACAAGTCTGAAGATAGATTAGTTAAAGCTCTCAAAAAAATTAATACAGCAAGAGAAGGAAAAACAGTAAGAGGGGAAAGAAGAGAAGGGAGGGGCAGGGAGGAAGGGAAGAAGGGAAGAAGCCGTTTAGAAAATGTCAGCTAACAGCAATACTGTACTCAGAAAGGAGGGCCAAATGCCTAAAAATGCATAAACTGTGCAGGCTAATGCAATATTCAATACAGCAGAATGCAGAGGCCTCATAATATGTATGTAATGGAATCTACACACATGTATAATGCCATATATATACTGTTTCCAAGCATTTTTAAAAATATGCAAGATGAATTCAGGATCATTCTAGAAAAAAATATTTCTTTCTTTAAAGGAGCTTTTGCAGGAGGGAAGTTTCTTGGGGGGGAGCAGATCCCCACTGTACAAAAATGAAACTATGGTTTTTGGTTAATTCTAGTTGACATGGCCACAAAATAACCATGGATATGCTGGCTGATTTTGAGAGGGTTGTTTTCATATATAACCTTATCGCTTCATTTGTAGAAAAAAAAATCTTTGTGAAAGTTAATGAACCTGTGGTTGGTCTACATTGATGCTTTGTGAAATGGGTTAAAAGGGCTGAGTTGAGTACCAGTTAGGGAAAAAGGCTTTAAAGCCAGGGAGGGCCCTCTTGGGTCTTTCTCACACACAGGGATAGACTTTTAAATAAAATAGTACTTCCTTAAAAATCTGCCACCTAAGAATTGTTTACATCATAGAAAAATAGCAATTTTATAAAAAGAAATATAGTTACTTTGTTAACATGGTCTATTTTAAACCAGGAATTATCTTTCATATAAAGAATTTCTAAACATCCACAGAGAAAATAAAACCTAGGTAATACTGAGTGCAAAGCAGACAGTGGCACATTTGCAGAGTACTTCAATGCCAGATAAATCATCTCTTTAGTATATTACAGTACGAATGTTACCTTCTAGGAACATGAAGATATTGCTTTGATTTTCTGATGACAAGTTACTTATAAGTTACTCCCAGCAGTGGAAGGCCAAGTTGATAGAAAGTGACACATATATTCATTCACATTTCCCTTAAACTGCAAGGGCCCAAAACCAGGCAGAGGCCTAGACCACACTCCCAAACATGAGCATGGGCCCAGGGGGAGATGCAACAGGGAATGGATGGTATCACTGCCCCATCAAAATCTACCCATCTTCCATATTTAAAATTCACATAAAAACCAGATTAAAATGGAAATATTTATCAGCTTGGCCTAATCCACCATGAAGAGGAATTTATGTGGAAATTCTTCTAAATATGGGCATTAGATATTCATGCTATAAAAACAGATGGTTTCAGCAGACTATTGCTTTATCTCCACAAGCAATTCTGGAGGGACGGTAAGTTTCCTACTGGTGGCAAAGGAGGAATCAGCATACTGAAAACCACCAGCTTCTAGCTTCTGCCAGGGCCAGAGAGGAGGATTGACCAGAGAACACCCCATTGGCAAAGGTGGTGGGGGCTCACCAGCATCCATCACACCCGCTCCACTCGGCTGGGATCATATGAATCTGAAACAAGAAGGAAGGCAGATCAGAGGTACATTCAACACCTGTGTTTCCTCTTTGTTCCTCAGAGCAAAACCCACAAGTATAGAAAATTGATTTTTTTTGACATTTCAGCAAAGTTGTTTCACCGAGAAGTAAAAAACTATGGTTGAAAAGCATGGTCGTTACCAAAGACAGATGGGAAAACATGAGTTGTTTAGTGTTTTGGTGGGTCCTATAATCATTATAAATGCAAAGTTTGTTAACCTTGGCTAATGCTGAGGAGGGTTGTGTTGCTTGTGTGTGTGTGTGTGTGTGTGTGTGTATGTGTGTGTGTGCGTGCATGTGTGTGTGCACTTTGTTTCTTCTTTAAAAATATTTATTTTTATTTTATAAGTGTTTTGCCTGAATGTATGTAAGTGCACTGTGTGTATACAATGCCTGTGGAGGCCAGAAGAGGGTATCAGATCCCCAGAACTGGAGTTAGGGGTGGTTGTTAGCTGCCATGTGGGTGCTGGGAGCTGAACCTGGGTCTTCTGCTAGAGCAGTGATGTTCTTAACCACTGAACCGTCTCTTCAGCCTTGTCTCTATTTTCTTTTACGTTAGTTTTAGGGATCTGAACTCAAGACCTTGTTCTCCCCTCCAACTATAATGAAAGCTTCTTTTTGAACAGATTCTGCCCCTTCAAGGCTTGGGAAAGCTGAAACCCAGACTGCATGGACAGCAGGGAAAGGCTTCCTGCTTCTGGCTGTCACCAGCCAGCAGGCAGGCCCAGGGCTGGAGGTCGCCTGTCAGCACAACTTCTGGAATTTTCTCATGCTACACTGACCCATTCTACAACCATCACTGGAAGAATTCCAAACTGAGCCCTGGTGACCATATGCGGAAAGGGGCAATAATCTCAAACTGCCAGTGATATGGAAGGTAGGTGCTACTGGGCTGTCTTGGTGCCCTGGAAGCTTGTATCGTCCCTGAAACCAGAGCTTCCTGCCTTAGCAGTTCAAAGTTTTCCTAGATTAAGGGAAAATGGTCAAGAAAATTAGAACATGGTACAGCCATTAAAACACTATAGAGTCCTCAAAAATGTAAATAAAATTAGAACTATCATATAATCCAGCAATCTCAGTAGTGGGAGAGAAAATCAACATGTCAAAGATATCTGCATATCCATGCTCAGCACACTGTTCATAACTGCCAAGGGGTAAGAAAAACCCAAGTGGCCATCAAGAGATGAATGAATAAGGAAAATATCTGTCTATATACAAATATACACACAATGGAACACTATTCAGCCTCTAAAAAGGAGGGAATCCTGTCATTATGACACATGTGAACCTTGGGGACATTGTAGTAAGAGACAGTGGCCTGGCACAGAAAGCAAATCATTACATATCTTATGTATACATAGAATTTTTTTAAAGTTACACTTGTAGTAACAAGAATAGAAGGTGGTTTCTACGGCTGGAGAGATGGCTCAGCAGTAAAGACAATGGCTGCTCTTGTAGAGAACCCAGGTTTGGTTCCCAGCACCCACATGGTGGCTAACAACCATCCACAACTCCAGTTCCAGAGGAATCTAACACCTTCTTCTGACTCTGTGGGCACTGCATGACACAGGCACACTTACATACATGCAGGCAATACATTCATACACATAAAATAAAAATAAAAAAAATTTAAAAATAATGTTAAAAAAAGAAGGTGGTTTCCAGATTAGAGTGACTAGTTCACAATGCATGTATACACCTGAAATCTGCAGGAATGCTGTTACCTGATGCACGTGTTAACTAGCTTGACTGAGGCACTCATCTTACAATGTGCTCACTGAAACCTAAGTGCATCTTAAAGATGCACACTTTCTATGGATACCTTAGTAAAATAGAGAAAAAGAAAAAGCTTACCACAGTGCTAAAGATGACTTTAAAAAATTGGGAAGGGCCAGGCGTGGTGGCGCATGTCTTGTAGTCCCAGCACTTGGGAGGCAGAGGCAGGTGGATCTCTGTGAGTTCAAGGCCGGCCTGGTCTACATAGTGACTTCCAGGACAACTGGGGCTTACAGGGAGACCCTGCTTCAAAAAGAACAACAACAACAACAACAAAAAAACGAAAACATCGGGAAGGATGGTATTGTTGGGTCCGAGGTTGGGGAATGATTGGAGACCACCCACCAAAATTCGAAAATTTAGAAGATTTTATTGAAAAGCATTCCAATTCTTGAATAACCAGTCGGGCACAGACTCCAGGAGCCAATGAATGGAGTCCGGCCCCAACCAACAATGTGAGGGGGGTGTTACCAGGTACTCTTGAAAAAGCCCACGCAAATTGGGTGACCTATGAATTGATTGGATAACTCTGAATTCCTTGCACGGTGGGAAATTTCATTGGTTATGGTCGTGGTCAGCTGCCTGGAATGTCTCAATTTTTCCTTTTACGCTAGGGTACCCCTATCAGCCTCTGGATGCCCATTTATGGTCACGAATTTCGGTTGGTTTCAGCAAGGTATGTCCGGGCTTGCCTAATCTCAGCCCGCAGTATGGGGCAAAAGATACTTACAACGTTTCTAGGAACAGAGACTTAAGGCTAACAAGATGGAGGCTGCTAAAAAAAAAAAATGGAGCCAGTGTGACCTGGATCGTTCAGTATGATTTGATAGAAAAATAAACAGAAAACAATGCTCTAAAATGCATCTGAAAACAATGTCCTGTGAAAGGTCCAAGAATCCAGCCACATGCTTCTGGTGCTGTCTCTGCCTGGCCTGCACAGACCTGACCTGCAAGCTAGGCACTGGTTTCGAGCTCCCTGTGCAGACGCCGTGGACTGAATGGGACAGAGCCAGCACTCAGAAGAGCAGCCTGAGCCTGCTCACATGATCAACTGCCCCAGGCAGGTCCAGCAGGCTAGAGGAAGTAGAATCCTCCTGAGCTAACACTTCCTGACACTGCCCTTAGCAGCACCCATATGACTACATAAAACAGTCACAGCTCAGTGCCATTTGGGGGCTCAAATCGACTGAAGGTAAAGGATGTTGATGGTAACAGATGACAATGCAGAGTGTGCCACACTCCTGACCAATGGGAGGCCTAGGGGAGGCTACGGCAGCCATTAAGCCTCAGATCGCACAGACACTGAGCACTGAACAGCTCCCCTCAGTTCCTGGTATGCTGGAGACACCTCCACAGAATGCACCTGCACCTCTCAGCCCAAAGTAGAAACTAAGACTCCTAACACAGGGAGCCATGGAAAGAATTCTCTAGAACAATAAGCTCTTTAATGGATGGATAGTCTAGGTCCAACAAAAACAGAGTGTGAGCCAGGTAATGTTCTTTTAAATTTTCTGGTGGCTATGTTGAAATAAATAAAAGGAAGCAGGTGAAATTATCTTTAATAATATGCTTTATTTCACCACATACATACAAAATATATTTTACTAAACATGTCCAGAACATTATCATTTCAACATGTAACATTTAAGTGTAAAATTATGAAGTTATTTTAGGCTTTTTTTTGCACTGTGTCTTTGAAACCTGGTGATAGATTTTACACGGAGAGTGTATCTTGGTTTGGAAGAGCCACGTTTCCCATACTCAGCAGCCACAAGGGCCTAGGTTTAATCTCTGTCAGCATAAAAAAATATTTTTTGAGACAGGGTCTCAATGTGTAGCACTGGCTAGTCTGAAACTTGCTGTGTAGCCCAGCCTTGCCTAGAACTCACAGAGATCTGCCTGCCTCTGCCTCCCAGATACTGGGATAAAAGGTATGTGCCATCGCATCCAGCTAAAAATTCTTAAACTGCACCCAGTTTAAAAATAAAAGGTCATGAGGAGGCATTTTTAATGGCTGCCTAAAGATAACACTCAGCATCTGCCTGTTTTCAGATATGACAGACTCCATTCACATGCCAAACCCAAACCCGAGGGATCATTAATTTACAGAATAGAATTTTATGGTATAAAGTACTCCCTGAAATATGTGTCCATTAACAGACATTAATATCTGCAAATGGGTGTTTTATTACAAATGTCTTACTTTAAAATCCCCATAGATCTCAAGAAGTGGAACTGATTTCATAAGAAGTGGAACTGATTTCATAGGCAAAGAAACCCACTTTGGAAAACTACACCAGTTTGAACCTGCACTTCAAATCAGCAGTGTGTGTGTGTGTATGTGTGTGTGTGTGTGTGTGTATGTGTGTGTGCATGCAGACACTCCCATTAGGAGAAAGAGTAGCAGGATGAGATCTGTACCGAAACTTACAAGAAACCCTAGATGCTTGTTCAATGAAAAAAGGAATCATTTTGAAAAGATACAAACATAGCAACCTTTGGCTAGACTACAGAAAAATAAGACTCAAACAAATAAATCAGAATTGAAAAGGAGATATTACAGCTGAAAACACAGAAATACAAAAGGCCATAAAAGGGTATTACGAACAACTATATATTAAACCAAAAAAACTGAATAATCAGGGATGGAGAGATGGTTCAGTGGTTAAAAGCACTTGCTGCTCTTGCAGAGAACCCAAGTTCAATTCCCAGCACCCACACAGTAGTTGACAACCATCTGTAACTCCAGTTCCAGGGGATCCAATGCCATCTTCTGAGGCACTGCACAACATGGGTGCACTTACATATATGTAGGCAATACACTCATATACATAAAATTAAATAAATAAATAATAAAACTCCTCAAATAATCTAGAAGACATGGTTAAATTCCTGACATGCAACCTGTGAAGACTGATTTAGGAAACAATACATACTGTGAACAGACCCATAACGAATAAGGAAATGGAATTGGTTATTTAAAAGCCTGCAGAAGACCTGGGTTTGAATCCCAGCACCCACATGGCAGCTAACAACCGTCTGTAACTCCAGTTCCGGGGGATCTGACTTCCTCTTCTGTCCTCTGTGGGCAATGTACAACACAGGTGCATTTACATACATGCAGGTATAACACTCATACATATAAAATTAAAATTTAAAAATTTTTAAAAGGTGTCTAGATAAAGGAAAAACCAACTGGG